GATTGTCTAGTTATTTATTTATTGTAAACAATCCTCCATTTATGAACATATGTTATAAGAATTCATGTTTTTTTCCGAAACACAACCGACTGTTAGTTGTCAGCCGAATTGTTCAATCAATTTAATATAGATTATGCCAATTTCATCGTAACTACGGAAAGACATTTTAGAAAACGCGTTTCACGCGGCGTCCAAAAGACAAATTGAGGAAACATACACATAGAAAAAAACTTTATCCTTGTGTTTATTCATTTTACGGGTGGGCATGTGGCCAGGCTAAAAATCAAAGCAAAGATTTAAAACTCGCTCTAGAATATAAGTAAATTGGCATGAAAATAATAAATAAAATGTTTTTCATACAATAAAACCAGCTTTAATCCATTTTTATACTTATTTAAATACATCATAACTATCGGCATAACATCAAAGACCCGTCCGCTCAATAATATGATAACAAAATAGGAAACTTTTTTTCTTTTTTCTGTAATTTTTTTCTTGTCCTTTCTTCTTCCTTTCCTTTCCTCTTCCTTTTACGATTTTTAGTCTTATTAGAGCTGTTTAATATTTTTCAATCTTTGTAATTATTTTTAATCTTCTAGTTCTCAATCAAATCAACAAACCATTTTCCAAAGGATGTTGTGTTTTAATTGTTTCTATCGGAAAATGTTTTGGCATAACAATCCGAATATTTCCAAAAACGTTTTCAAAATAATTTAGCAATAAAATTATTTATCGTTTATCGTGACTAACCCTATCTAACTAGCCATGCATCAAATGCTCGAACAAATAAAACTAAATTCGATCATTTTTCAACCGACTTGGGAAGATTATAAACTGTATACAATCAGGTAGAGATTAAAAGATTTGATTATCTCAAGATTCGTTAGTAGTGTAATCCCCAATTAATATCGTTAAGCACTACACGGATATTATAGATATAATAAAATTAAAGTATATTCCAGGCTGGTAAATATATATTTGCACAACTATGCCAGCAGGTTTTGATCTATTCATGATATTAATAGCAATATTACCTAATAACTACAGTGTGGCCCTACCAAGATATGGAACAGCCCCATAAAATTGATAATTATCGTCCGATGTTTGCTAACTTTTCCTTAGAATTTACAGTCGAAATGGCTTTTTATAAAAACTGAAACTTTATATGCAATTGTGTATAGGTTTATACTCTCCTGTGCATATAGAACAGTGGCGGTGAAGAGCAAGGCAACAATACGGTTGACTTCAATGACCAAGATGATTTTAACCATAGTTTAACGAAAAAAATCAGTTATTGAGCTGAAACGAAACTGGAATCGCGCATTACGCTGTGCATCGGGGAAACCTAGAAACATGCGCTTTTCTTGCCCCACTCTCCTCCCACCACTGTTTCACCGGCACAGGATATAGTATATACAGGGTGTCCGTTTTTGGAGCTCAACCATGGGGATCTCGTAACCATACTAGATACGAGATTGATCAAATTGGGGCAAAGTTGGGCAGTCTAGAGCTCACTAAACTGCTCAGTGGAAATTTAAAAAATTTCTGCTACTTTCGGAGATATCCGGAAAAAATCAAATTTCGGAAAAAGTTTTTTCTTTTTTCTTTAACTTATTTGACGCGGAATCTCAAAAATGACTAATAATAATAATACTACTACAAAATAATTGCAACTTTTTGTCTCCTACAAGGTGGCGATGTTGTATTTAAAATGTGACTAATGGGTTCCTGACAACCATCATCAACTTTGTTTTTTCTTATGGGTGCCATTTTGGATCATTACACGTTTGAATTCAATACAGCTTTTTTTTCTGATTACGATGTTGTATCATATGTTAAGATCCAGTCTTGCTATTTAGTGAAAATAACAATGATTTCGTTTTTGTAAAGAGTGTTTTGGAATAACACCCACTCTTTTGTTTAATCAACAGAATTAAAATCATTTCTTCCTTGAATTTCCTTTCTTAGGGTAAAGCACCTTTGATGATGCAAGACACCAATGCTTGCTAAACGTCAGAAATAATTTTTTTCCCACCGCGGTCTTAAGACCCGAAGAACTCAGCAGTTTCAAGCGATGAACCTGTTCTATCATTCTGTATTTATTATGTCACCTTGTATATTACAATTCGGTCTGGTGATAAAAACATCAAAGAAAATCAACCATCTTTCGATTATTCAATATCGGTCAAGAAACTGGACCTTCTCTTGTACAGGGTGAGTTTTTTTAAGAAACAAAAAATTTAAAAATTTAAATTGGTCCGTTGGTTAAAAAGGTTGCTCATCCCTGATCTAAATGATATTTTGTTCACCTAATTGGATGATCAAATATTAAGAAGATACTTCAAGGTGATATTAGCGAATATTTTTTGCGGCATATAAACAGAACAAAAGTATCAAAATACAATGTTCTGAAAATACTGATTGCAAGCGTGCTATCTGTCATTCTCGCTTAAAAGATAAATATCAGTAACTCCTCTATCTAATTTGCAATGAACTTTAAGAATAGTGGATCAAGTTAAATCCACTGCGCATTTCATTTATGACATATTTAATATKGMCGATATTGTAGGATAGTCAAAACCCAGTTGATATATACTTACTACTAAAACATCCAGATCTCATGAACACGACAAATAAATCGAAATATCAGATAAAAACTAAATTTAATGTGCTAAATTTTTAATGTTCTATATACATCCATTGCTGCTAAGTTGCCAAAAGTAAGATCTTAGCTTTTCGGTTATTCCTGGTTTGAGGTTTTTGTATGCTTTTTATATTGGCCGATTTTGTAGTCTTATCTGGAGTTTGAAAAGCGACAACTAAATATTCCACACTTCGGTTCTTTTATGCAAAATAATTAGTAACGGAAATTAATGGAACAAATTGTGATCGTGAAACTAAAGCTTTGATTTCCAGAACAAGCAATAGTCTAAAACCACAGTAAATGGTTTTAAAAATTCTCGATAGTCAAACCTTTCAATTTACCGGGGTTCAATATTACAAAACAAAACTACACTGCTTACGCAAAATTGACAAGACAAAGCGATTCACTCAAAAATTCATCAAGTAATTTGTTCCACTCAAAGCTATCTTTTAATTATACTCCAATTTTTATAGTCGCAGCTTGAAGCGCAGTGGCAATTTTCTATTAAAAATGTTTGAGTGTATTATAAATATTTCACAAAGTTGTTATTCACATTAGTATGCCTTATCTCATAGCATATTTGAACTGCCATTAACCAGAAGAAAAAAATAGATCCTTCTAAAACATTGTCAAGGGTCTTTGTCGAAATTTGGTTTGCCAATCAAAACTTAAATGCAATAATTTATCTTTTATCAGGTAGCGCTTGTTGCATTAAATGTAATTCAACGTTCGCCTAGTTATCTTTGGCCATAAAATACTAGCCTAATACTTTTTTAGTAACAATTCCGAATTTTGTACATGTTTTATTAGGACTTCCATTGTCCTACGAAGATGTATATTTTCTTCATCCTCTGATGGAAATGACGTAGTTTCACCATTGTTTTGGACCGCATTAAATCACATTTACCCATTACAATGATATGACAATGACAACTTACGTTTTCTCCCATTATTCATAGTACATTAAGGTACAAGAGGCAGGCAGACGTTCGAAAATTTGCTCACAAAAAATGAAGGAGAACTTATAATCAACAAAAAGGAGATTCTAAGTACCTATAAGAAATACTTCTGCAAACTGCTCAATGATGAGGAAAATACAAATGCGCTACAAACAAATATATCACCTGCGTAAATAGAAATACAGCCCCCGTAGTAGGGAGAAACAGTGAAGGCAATAAATTAATTGAAAAATAACAAAGCTCCAGGCAGCGACCTACCAAATGCATACTATGGCGGAGAAACACTTCCTAAGTCCCTACATAATCTTACACAAATCATCTGGAGGACAGAGGCCTTACCCTATAGATGGAAGGAAGGAATAATCGTCGTTATACATAAAAAGGAAACAGAAAGGAATGGAAACGCTATCGTGGAATTACTCTTCTAAATATATGATATAGATATAGAGATTGTTGGGGAATACCAATATGTATCTCGACCCAATAAGTCCACTTTAGACCAGACTTTTACTATTAGGMAAATATTGGAGAAATGCTGGGAAGAGTTGCTGAAGAAGGAGAAATGCTGGGCATTCGACAGAGTATGTAGGTGAAGGTTGTGGCAAGCAATGCAAGAATTTGGGTTCCCAAAAAACGTATATCGGTGTGAAAAGTATGTATGGAAGATACGAAGACGCGAGGTAAAGTAATAGTGGGACAGAGTCTCTCCGACTCCTTCAGTATCAATAACGGTCTAAAGGAAGTTGACGCCATCTCACGTCAACTCTTTAACATAGCATTGGAATATGTAATTAGGAACTCTAAAATCCAGAAGCCAACTGCTGTCTTTGATCAAGAAGGACCCAACAACCGGCTCTGGGCCTTTGCAGACGATGTGGATGTGATTGACAATAGCAGGGCCAGCCTCAAATGCACTTTCATTAAGTTGTAGAAATAATAATAGGAACCGAGATAGAGTAGGACCAAACTTGTCTATCGGGGACTACAACTTTGAGCGGACAAAACAATTTAAATATCTGGGTACAAGTATTAATGAAAACAACGACAACACAGAAGAGATAAATAGCAAGATACAGACTGAAAACAGATGCCTTTTTGCTATTCAAAACCTAATAAAATCTAGAATACTTAATAAGACAAAAGTTAGTATTGTTTTGTATATGTCGTATGTGTATACGTGTGTCGTATATGGCTGTGAGACCTGGACATTAACGGTTGCAAGCAAAAAACGACTTAACGTGTTTGAAAGGAAAGTGCTAAGAAAAATATTTGTCCCAACCAAAGGCGAAAATACAGGACAATGTACAATAAAAACCAACCAAGGACTTAAAGAGCTCCACACTGATACAAGCATAATAAACGAAATAAAAGCCAAGAGACTACGGTGGGCAGGATACGTTAAAAGAATGCCGGATGATAGAATGGTAAAACTGCTATGGGTTGATGTTCCAGGGAGAAAACGTCCATTGGGTCGGCCCCGCCTCAGATGGAGAGATAATATTACAAACAAACCTAAAAGCCATGAAGAACGAAGATGGCCCCGATTGGATGGATAGGGAAGGATGGAGATATGTGGTTTAGTCGGCAAAAACCCAGCCAGGGTTGCGAAGCCACGGATGATGATGACGATGACTATGAACAATGGGAGTAAAAATAAATTGGCATTGTCATGTCATTGTAATGGGTAGATGTAATTACGTACCATCACCATTTGAAGGCCGTTTTTTTTCAAAACCTTATACTATTAGCGGGCATTTTCCACAGAGGATCAAGAAAAATAGTATACGGTACACTGTACACGAATAATGTACTATTTACCATAAACTTTTGGTTGTAGTATCTGCATCCGCTTTCCAGTAACTACTAAATTTCCTTGCCATGTCGTTGAAATTTGGTTCAAAAATGGTAACAATTAATTACTTATTGAATGTTACAGAAAATCTTTCATTCTAAAAATCGTATTTGCTTATTTTCCGTATATCTGAAATTACATTTTTCACTGATGATAAACCCTTGTTCCCCCTTTACTTTGTTAATCCATATGGCAGCTGTATTTGGTTTGTATTTTATATAGACATCTCTCAGTCTCCCGTTCTACGTACACGTTATCAATTTAATACCATTATGCGTATGAATTTTATTTTGTTTATTAATATAAAATTACAGTCAGTTAGTAGATTTAGTAGATAAAATGTGGCAAAACCTTCTTATTGCAACACCCGTTATATTTAACAAGACATCCTCGACACTGTATTAGACTTTGTTAAATTTTGGTAATGATTTCAGTGCGAGATGCTAAAAAGACAAAGTTGATTAATCTACCGGAAGCCGATATAAAAGCGTTATGCCACAAAGCAATTCAAATTTTAGCTTCTCAGCCAATGCTTTTGGAATTGGAAGCTCCTATAAAAGTTGGAGGTAAGTTAGAAAAGAGTTTTTAAATGTTAGGAAAATATTACAAAACTACTTTGTCTGAAGTTTAAGAATAATTTAAAATGAATTAACATACTTTATTTCAGGTGATATACATGGTCAGTTTAACGACCTCCTCAAACTTTTTCAGTTTGGAGGTTTTCCCCCAGATTCCAATTATCTATTTCTTGGAGACTATGTCGATAGGGGCAAACAATCACTAGAGACGATGTGTTTGCTTTTAGCCTACAAAATAAAATATCCTGAAAATTTCTTTTTGTTGCGAGGCAACCACGAAGCAGCTCAAGTTTGTAAAATATATGGATTTTTCGACGAATGTAAGTTAACGTAAACTGGTATCTCGTATATCGTAAATGTGTGTGATATCATGGTCTGATATCCAACGGACCATGGAAAACAGAAATGCAGTTATACTATGCGCTCAGGTGCAGGCGATTTTTAAATTATTTGCCCGGAATTATACATTGATACCAACGTAAAACAGATATACATACATACATACATATATACATACATATATACAATAGTGCAGCGGTAAAAAGCAAACAACCAGTGATTTACGTTAACGCAATGAACGAATCTCTGAATTTTACAAATTAATCAACTGGACCAAACTTATGAATTAAACCACGGAACAGACGTGTTTGGCCAGTTTCGCATTATACAGGGTGATTAAACCAAAACGCAAGAACAGCCATTTCGGACCTTTAGAGATTAAAAAACGCACGGACACGTAAAATTTTTGTGTGATTTCTTGGCCAGAATGGCCCACCTCAATCATCTTAAATGAATTAGTCGTAAATAATTCAACCAGTACTCATTTTGGTCTATTTAAAAGTAGTCCCAGATCTTTTATAAAAAAATTGGATACATGATTTTGGGGTTTAAAGATGATAAAGACTATAAAAACCACTATCTTAAAAATATAGCTCAAAACATCCGATTCTGAAAGGGCGAAAGATTGTTTTCCCATTCATAGCTTTTGCGAAAAAAAAATTTCTGTTTTCTTGCCACTGAACATTGTTAGACATTAACTGCAAATATCGTGATACGAGGCTTAAATTAATTGTCAGTCTCACAAATTCGTTTCGAATTACCTTTTCTAATGAAGAAGTGGACCGACACGGTCAAAGTATTAGGGTTTTGCGAAGACAACTCGCGTGAAAGCGTACGCGTTTAAGCGGCGCATATTTGCAGTTAATGTCTAACATTGTTAAGTGGCAAGGTAACAAACATGTTTTTTGCGCAAAAACTATGAAAGCTAGAAGATTTTACAAAGAGCACAGAATTGTGCATAAATGATTAGTGCATCAACCAAAAAAAAAATGAGTTAATTCAATCCACCAAATAAAAAGTCTGGTAGTTTTTGTAGACACTGCAGCACTAACCACTTGTCCAAAACGGCTGAACTCGATTGTTTCATCAAAGTATAAGTTTTATATGAAAACGAATTCACGTCGAGTTTTTGAAGAACTTCGACCGTCGTAGGACAAACATTTTCTGTTAATACGAGTTAGGCCAGATCGTCTTCTTTTGATGCAAAGAATATCGTAGTACCCTTTTGATCATGTGCTTACGGGACACTGTATAATTCGCCCTCGCCATACATAATTTTATATTAAACAAGATTGTTATATTTTGTGGTTAATATTCTAGTCGAAAGACTAGACTTATTTTGGTTAAAATTTAATATATTTCTATTAAAATCATACTGTATTTAAATGTTTATCGGTAAAAAAGCTCTGAAGACGTCAATCCTGATACAAAAACTGCGGACACGAAATAAAATTAGTTTGCATCTCAGTATTTAGGCAATTCAAAATAACCAG